TGATACTATAAACTCAGTTCTCTGCCAGTTTGCTGATAACCTTCTACTTGGACAGTATTCGCATTATTTTTGCAAATTATTTCACGTTGTTTCTCATTTGTGCTCCGTAACTGGAATTTTCTTTGTCTGTGTGAAGAAAGATATTAGACAGAGTTACTACAATTTTTTACTGGAGAAGTTCTATTTATTTGAGAACTAGAAAATGGTAATATTAGGAATAAATTATTTACATTATTCTTTTTTATATTATTTATTATAATAACAAGGAATACAAGTACTGTGGCAAATAAATGGAATAAAATTTAGAATGATACACCTACTTAATTCAAACCTTCTTTCTTTTTCTAATATTCTGCTAATTTAATTCATCAAAGACCAATACTAGATTATTTTTTAACAAACTTCACCCTTTGCACTCGAGAGGTGGCTCTTAGTCACCGTTTGTTTTAATGCTATAACTTAATGAATAATAATAATTATATTAAGAACATCGAAATAAAATTATTCTGTTCGTTCGTTTCTCACGCAAATTCACGATTTCCTTTTTTTAATTTTAGCATAAAGAGTATCAGTGACTTATAAAAATCTAAGAGCTTCGAATAGCATCTTCACAACGAAGAAATCTTCGAGTCCAAAGGGTTAATATTATTTTTAAACCACTTTGTGTCACACTTTGTTAATATTTATACCACAAATTTTAACCCTATACTCTCAAAAAATGTCACAGTCACTTAACTATAAATCCTATACATTTTTGCCACAAGAGAAAGTCTCTAAAAAGTTGCATTTCGTGGAAAAAGAAACAATCACAAATATCTCTGGTGAATTTCCTTTCGAAACCTCTGTGTATGAGAATGAGACCAGATCACGTGACACAGATTATAAATATGTCCCCATAGTGGTACCAGTGGAGCGCAAGGAGTTGTTATTCGCGTCTACTATAATTTCTTTTAATTGTCATAGCAAACGTTCCAACGATGGCGGCTACCAGCCAATCGCCGTTCTTTGAATAAAAACGTGCTCCACGAGAGCCTCGGCAAGAATTCAAGAGAGTAATTCGACACGAAGTTAACGACTATGGCCGTAACGTTCACGCGAAAATATCACCCTGCGCTTAATCACGATCCAACTTTCCAGCTCGATCCGTTGGTATTTCAATTAACTCGTGTTTCAATTAATCGAGGACACGTCCCGACGCCGGTACCAAAGCCTCGTTCGCGTGTCTCTGTCCGTAAAATGAAAAAAGATCAAATAGGGGTGTGTGGGCACGTTTTACATCGGAGCCACCAGGAAGATCGAATATTCATCCCCGTTTAGCCTGTGCAACCGGAATTTTCTTCACTAGAGTCAGGTATAGAGGTAACAAATCAGATCAGGGCTTTTTTGCTCTGATCTGAGGATTGGAAAAATGGTAATTGTTACGGGGTAGGATATTTAAATTGTTTGTACAGATTGTCTAATTTTAATTGTAATTCCTAATTCATTTTTGTGGCTGAAAGGATTATATATGAGAGTCTTTTGGTTCCGTTTGGAGATTCGAAAATGGTAATTAACAAGGGTAGCTTATTTTTGTTCATTTATTATTTAAATAAATTTATATTTTTAAATT